TGACTGAGGACAGCCCTCTCCTTGTGGGGATGACACCCATCAGAGTGGAACGTGCAGAAGATGAAATGGCCGCGTCCAGGCGTGCTGCCATAAGGTTATGTGTTTGGGGCACCAATGTCCCCTAGGTTTGCATCCCAGAGGACTTGATGATTATGTGACAAGGTTTTAATGAGACAGACAGAGGAGGCTGGGAACATTCTGCACTTGAGGAGCGGCACCTTGAGGTGCTGTGCAGGGTGCAGGTCAGGCCCCTGGGGAATTGGGGAGTACAGGGGTGACGCAGGCCGGGCTGTGGGCTCCAGAGAGACCATTTGTGAGTGTCTCTGATTTTACAAGCTCCAGAAAGAGGATGCTTAGGGTATATCTCCTCTCAGGATTTTTGTCTGTTTGTTTTTGGGGCACACCCAATGGTGCTTAGGGCTGGCTCCTGGCTCTGCACTCGGGAATCACTTGTGATGGGCAGGGGAGCTGGGGTGCTGGGGATCGAACCTGGGTCAGCAGCATGCAAGGCAAATGTTCTCCCACTGTATTATCGCTTCTCCCTCCGATAGCACAGCGGGTAGGGCGTTCGCCTTCCAAGCGGCCAACATGGCCGACCCGAGTTCGATTCCTCCGCCCCTCTCGGAGAGCCCGGCAAGCTACCAAGGGTATTCGATATGCCAAACACAGTAACAACAAAGTCTCCAATGGAGACGTTACTGGGCCCGCTCGAGCAAATCGACGATCAACGGGAGGGCCTTTACCTTTACCTACCTTTTACCTCCCATTCCTCCCAGTGTTTTTGGAACTCTGTCTGGTCTTGCACCTTGGTCATGCCCTGTGGGAAATTCAGATGGAGTCAGAATTGCCTGAGTGGATTTCCTAAGGCAGAGGCAGAACTCCTGCTGCAGGCAATGGAAAGCCAGCCAGAGTTGCTTTCTGGCTGGTCCTGGGACCGTTATGGGAGGACAAGCAGCCTGATGGCAAAAGTCCTGCCCTTTCCATACCGACCACTGGCCTCTTGGAAATGACCCTGGCATGTGCTAGTGACTCTCATCTGTTTCCTTCTGAGTCACAAACAGCTTCATTAGGGGTGGGGCTGCTTCCATGAGAGTAGAACTGAGTGGGATGGGAGAAATGGGGATGCCTGGACCCCGCACCAACCTAGAACCTATGTGCCAGTCTAGAATCCTCCTTTTTTGGGGGGGAGGGGTGGGCCACACACGGTGATTCTCAGGACTCCTGGATCACTCAGGAATCACCCCTGGCTCAGGGGACCCAATGGGATGCTGGGAATTGAACCTGGACTTGGAGGGTGCAAGGCCAGCGTCCTCCCACTGTACTATCCCTCCAGTACCCAGCCCCCTCTTTTGAGGAGCCGAGGCAGTGTCTTGTCCTTTTTATGGGCATTGGTCACCGTGTTGGGGACCTTGCCACCCCCTCTTGCTTAATCCCCAGAGTGACCCCAGGAGGTATTGGCAGTATGTTCTAATCTTACAGATGAGGTAACTGGGGCTCTGAGTGGAAGCCCAAGGGGAGCACAGCAGAAAGTCAGGGTGTCGATCCAAACCCAGGTCAGCCTGACTACAAGCCTTCTTGAATCTAGTGCAGCAGGACATTCACAATAGTTTAGAAAGAACTCTGGGGACCCTAGCAAAGGAGAAAGAGAAAGTTCTTGGGGCAACGGGTAGGGCTCTTACCTTGTATGTGGCTGACCTGCATTCAATCCTGTATGGTCCAGTGAACCCTCCAGGAGTGATCTCTGAGCTTAGAACCAGGAGTAAGCCCTGAATTCCACTGGGTGTGGCCCAGAATCAAACCAAAAGAAGCTGGAGACAATTTCAAGCACTCCCCCCTTCCCCTCCCCCCCTATGCTGCTCAGCTCTTGAGGCCTGAAAGCTTCTCTTTTCTCCTCTTGAGTACAAACACAAACTCTGCAGCAAGCCAATTGGTCGAACAGGAAGCTTCACAGAGATGGGGCGGTGGGGAAAGGCCAGAGGGTCGTTCCTGGGTGGCATCCGGGAGGCCAAGTGGTGAAGGGCAGCTGGCAACATGACCCCAGCCCTGGGCATCAGAGGACATACCGGGGTGAGGCTCCAGGGAGCAGACGGGAAGCCTGCCCGAGTCCAGTTCAAGCCGGGGGGAAGCTCAGCTCCATCCTGCCGAACAGAGCCTGCACAGTGCCTCACTGGCGGCATTGATGCCCGAGGTCACGGGGCCTTCCTCTCGCTCTGTGCCACTGTTGTCCAAGGGGCTGGGAGCGGGCAGACTCCAGATCTCGGTATCCAGTTCTCCACATGCCAGGCCACTTAGGAGCCAGCAAGAGGGGGCAGCCTGGGCACGGGCAGGAGGAACTGCTCCTAAGGCAGCATCTGCAGAGACGCCACCTCACAGCCTACTGCTCTGGCCCTGTGCAAAGCTCTTTCACACCCCCAATACAGAAGCAACTTTTTCTTCCCCTGACCACATGGACAGCCCTTCCCGGCAGGACTGTTGGTTTCCTGGGGGTCAGGTTTTCCATCTCTGTGTAGTCTGTAATATTTACTCAACATAGGAAACCAAGAAGTATTATGAAAAAATTGTTGGTGCCACGGCCCATTAGTTAATTTTACCAAATTCTTTGATGTGAGCACATAACCCAAACAAGGAGGAAGCTGCCTCTCTTCAGTTTTGATTTCTCCTAATAGGGCTGTCAAAAAGTGAACTGGGGGGCTGGAGTGATAGCGCAGTGGGGAGGGCGTTTGCCTTGCACACGGCCGACCCGGGTTCGATTCCTAGCATCCCATATGGTCCCCTGAGCACCGCCATGGGTAATTCCTGAGTGCAAAGCCAGGAGTAACCCCTGTGCATCTCCGGGTGTGACCCAAAAAGCAAAAAAAAAAAGTGAACTGGGCTTTCTGAATCACTGGAAAGGCTTTTGAAGAGTCCATGAATTTGCAAATAACAGCTACAAGAAGGTTTGAATTTGAATTTGAAAGTGACTTGCCCTCTAGGTATCATTATTTAAGAGTGACAAGACTGGCTACCTGCCCAGTGCAGTCCCGGACTTTAATGAGACCAGCACGTCCAGACAGCAGGGTGCCTGCCATGGAAGGTGGAGATGACACTCCAGTGTCCAGTGATGGTTCTGGTCAACGAGTTAGCAATCCAGGCTCCCCCTGCTGGCTATGGAACACTAAATAGAATCCTTTTTTTCTTCTTCCTTTTCTCTCCTTCCTTCCCTCCCTCCTCTCTTCCTGTTTGTTTTTGGGCCACATCCAGCCATGCTTAAGGGTTACTCCGGGCCCTGCACTCAGGGATCACTCTTGGAGGGCTCAGGGTACTATATGGGTTGCCGGGGATTGTACCTGGGTCTGCTGTATATCTGACCTGCTGTACCATCACTCTGGCGCAACATTAAATAGATTTCTATAAGTCTTGGCCAGGAGCGATAGCACAGTGGGTAGGGCTTCTGCCTTGCACGCAGCCAACATAGCCGACCCGAGTTCGATTCCTCCGCCCCTCTCGGAGAGCCCGGCAAGCTACCGAGAGTATTCGATATGCCGGACACAGTAACAACAAAGTCTCCAATGGAGACGTTACTGGGCCCGCTCGAGCAAATCGATGATCAACGGGAGGGCCTTTACCTTTACCTTTACCTATAAGTCTTAGGTCCACTATTTCAGGCCTAGGGTGAAAAAGGCAAAGATGTTCTTTGGTTTTGGTTTGGAAAACTTGGTGAATATTAGTGCTATCGATATAGATCATTGAGAGGTAACTATTGATCTTTTGTTGTTGTTATTTTTGTTTCTGGTCACACCTGGCGATGCTCAGGGGTTACTCCTGGCTCTGCACTCAGGAGTCACTCTTGCCAGCACTTGGGGGACCCAATGGGATGCTGGGGATCAAACCCTAATGGACTGTCTACAAGGCAAGCGACCTACCCGCTGTACTATCTCTCTAGCTCCACACATTGATGCAGTTCATGGAGGCAACGCAAAAGGAACAGTGGACTTCCAGGGGAAAAACGATGAATTCAGGGTGCTGATTATCTTTTTTTTTTTCTTTTTGGGTCACACTCAATGATGCTCAGGGGTTACTCCTGGCTCTGCACTCAGAAATCACTCCTGGTGGTGCTTGAGGGACCGTATGGGATGCCGGGGGAATCGAACCAGGGTCGGCTGCGTGCAAGGCAAAGGCCCTACCTGCTGCGCTATCGCCCGGGCCCCAAGATTATTATCTTTTTGAGGGGCCTCCCCGGGAGTGCTCATGTCCCAGGGGTCACTCCTGGCAACATGCGCCCAGTGTTGTGTGTCTGCTGGACAGTGGGTCACTCCTGGCAACATGCGCCCAGTGTTGTGTGTCTGCTGGACAGTGGGTCACTCCTGGCAACACGCGCGCAGTGTTGTGTGTCTGCTGGACAGTGGGTCACTCCTGGCAACACGCGCCCAGTGTTGTGTGTCTGCTGGACAGTGGGTCACTCCTGGCAACACGCGCCCAGTGTTGTGTGTCTGCTGGACAGTGGGTCACTCCTGGCAACACGCGCCCAGTGTTGTGTGTCTGCTGGACAGTGGGTCACTCCTGGCAACACGCGCCCAGTGTTGTGTGTCTGCTGGACAGTGGGTCACTCCTGGCAACACGCGCCCAGCGTTGCGCGTCTGCGGGACTGACAGCGAGTTACTGCTTGGAGGCACCAGGGACGGTCTGCACACAAGGCGGTCCCGCTCCCCTCCGTGCTGGCTCCAGTCCTGGAGTCCAGCTGAAGGCCCTGTGGGCCATGGAGGTGTGGACACGGCTCTGGGGAAGGGGCTGAGGCTCCTGGGCAGGCGGGGGCCCTGCCGGAGGGCGGCGGGGCCGAGGTGGGGGGGGAGGACGGCGGGGAGGAGGGCGGCGCGGGGCGGCGGAACGCGGCCAGGCAGCGCCGCAGTCCGGGCCCCGCCCCTTCTTTGTCCCCGCGCCCGAACCTTCGCGAGAGTTCGGCACAGATCCCGGCCGCTCGCGGCTCTCGCGGTGTTTGCGCGTCTCGCGGTGTTTCCGCCGCTTCCGCCCGCGGAGGCCGCCCCGCTCCGCAGCCGCCGCCGCCGCCGCCGCCGCCGCCCGTCCCGGCCTCGGGCTGCTATGGTCGGGCCATGGCCGCGCGCAGCGCCGGTGAGCCCTGTCCGGCCTCTGCGCCGCCCCGGGTCTCCGCCGGTCCGTGTCCGGCCGCTGCCCCTGGTCCCTTCCCGGCCTGTGTCTGGCCCCTGCCCCCGGGTCCCCCCTCCCCCCAGCCCCTCCGTCCGGCCGCGGCCTCCCGCTTCCCCCGCCGGCTGGCCGCTGCCTCCCCTCCCCGTCCTCCCCGGCCTGTGTCTGGCCACTGCCCCCAGGTACCCCCCCCCGGCCCCTCTGTCCGGCCGCTGCCCCCGGGTCCCCCGCCGACCCCCGTGTTCGGCTGCTGCCCCCGGGCTCCCCGGCCGGCCCCTCTGTCCGGCCGCTGTCCCCCGGGACCCTCCCCCAGCCCCTCTGTCCGGCCGCTCCCCCCCCCCCGGGTCCCTCCCTCCGGGCCCCTCTGTGCGACCGCTGCCCCCCGAGTCTCCCCCCCACGCCCCTGTCCAACCGCTGTCCCCCGGGTCCCCCTGCCGGCCCCCGTGTCCGGCCGCTGCCCCCTGGACCCTGTACCGTCCCGTGCAGGACGCGCGGGGCCTTGGGCCCACAGAGGGAGGGCCGTGTCCAGGGTGGGGTCGGTGTGGGGTCCGCAGCGTCTCCCAAGGGGCCCTGCCCTGCGTTGGTCTTTCACAGCTCCGTGAAAACCCGCCTTGGGCTTGGCCAAGAGGCGCCTTGTCCTCTGTGCCGGGTGGTGATGGGTGAGGGGTCTGGGCCGCCCGGGGGTGCTGCCCGCTCGAAGCAGTGTTCAAGGCGTGGCTTTTATGGGATGATTATCACGGTCCTTGCAGGTGTCCCTGCTGTCCCGTTCAGAAGTTACCACCTTTACTAGGTTTTTTGTTCGAAAGGATTTATGGTATAGAGTAGTACACCTGTGACCTTAACTTTTTATTTTTATTTATTTATTTTTTTTTGCTTTTTGGGTTACACCCGGCGATGCACAGGGGTTCCTCCTGGCTCTGCACTCAGGAGTTACTCCTGGCGGTGCTCAGGGGACCATATGGGACGCTGGGAATCGAACCTGGGCCGGCCGCGTGCAAGGCAAACGCCCTACCCGCTGTGCTATTGCTCCAGCCCCTTAACTTTTTAAATTAGAATTGCATAAAATGAAAAATTCAGTTTTTCAGCAACCTGGGGCTAATTGCTTACTGGGGAAGTACAAACATATTTTCCTCCATTGCAAATTCTAAAATAGAGTTATAAAATTTATTCTATACAGATGCTTTTCAGGTATTTTTACTTTGAATGTTGAAAGCGATCTAACGCGGTCTGTGTGTAATTAAAGTATTTTTTTCCCTCTTTCAGGTTATGTCTTTGAGACCCTTATTGAAACATTAGATGACAGTTCACATAAGAAGTTCTTCAATGTCCCTAAACTTGGAGGCACCAAGTATGGTAATGATGCTTAAATTGTAAAAATTCATCTATTTTTGGGCCACACCCTCTGTGCTCAGAATTTACCCCGACTCTGGAGTCAGGGATTAGTCCTGAGGGTTTCCGGGGATGTTATCTTGGTGGTGGGGGTGGATCAAACCTGCACTGGTGGTATTCAAGGCAAAGATCTGACCCACTGTGTGGCTCCAGCTCTGTGTCAGTTTCCTTGGATTTAGTTTCTGGTAATAAAAATGGACCAGGGATGTAACTTGAAGACACAGAGACATGGGTTCAAATCCCAGCATGATAAAAGAAAAAGATTAGACTAACAAAAGTACAGTTGTCAATTTCTGAAGAAATTTTTAATCTATCACCATGATCTTTAAATGTTTAAGAGGTACACTGTCACATTGCTCTGTTTTTTTTTTTTTCCCCTTTTGTTTTTGGGCTACACCTTGCTGTGCTCTGGTCTTATTCCTGGCTGTGTGCTCAGGAATCACTCTTGGCAGGCTCGGGGAACTGTGTGGAATACTGGAGATTGAACTTAGGTTGACTGTGTGCAAGGCAAGCTCCTACCTGCTATACAGTTGCTCCAGCCCCACAGAACTCTGTTTTTAAAAACTCTTTTTTTTTTTTTTTTTGCTTTTTGGGTAACACCCAGCAATGCTCAGGGGTTACTCCTGGCTTTGCACTCGGGAATTACTCCTGGTGGTCCTTGGGAGACCATATGGGAGGCTGGGGATCGAACCCTGGTTGGCCACGTGCAAGGCAAACGCCCTATCCGCTGTACTATCACTCTGGCCCCTGTTTTTAAAAAACTCTTGAGAAAATGTTTGTTTGAGGATGATGTAAGCTCATATCAAAAATTCTCATATAAAAATCTCAATGAAGAAGTGTTTCCCTTCCCTAAAGAAATGACTGATGCAGTTCAAAAATGGCCATGTTAACTGATGATCCCTTTTGCTATTAAGTGTGTGTCTTAATTGTATATTGTTTCTGTTTTGTTGGGGGGGGGGGGCACACCTAGTGATGCTCAGAGCTTCGGCCTCTTGCTCAGGGATCATGCCTGGCAGTGCTTGAGGGACCATATGGGGTACCTGGGGCATCGAACCCGTGTCTGTGTGTGTAAGGCAAGTACCCCGCCTATTGTAATATGTCTCTAGCCCCTACAGTGAAATTGTGAATGATGACCACAATTCTTAAACTGCCATAGTTTGACATAGGAGTCATCAATAGGGCCCACTGCGTTTCCAGCACCTGGACATGCTTTTTCTGCCCTGTGCAGCATGATTTGGCGGACTTTTGCAAGCTCTGGGTCATAGTCAAATCATTCTGAGTTCTCGGAAGACTGAACTTGGCTGAACCCCATGATCCTGGGTGGAGTCTTGCATTAACATTTTTGTGACTGTCAGCCAGGTCAGGGAAAGGAAGACATGTTTGGAAGAACAAGGAATCTTTTTGGACTTTGTAGTGAACGTTCTTGAAAAGATCAGTATCAAATCTGTTGCACTCAGTTTTATAGAGAGCTTATTGTTTTTGTGATTCTTTTTTAGTTTTGACTGATACAGCCTGAAATGCTCAGGGCTTTCCTCCAGGCCCTGCTCTCAGGAATCACTCCTGGTGTTCCTCAGGAGACCATAGGGTGCTGGGGTTGGAACCCAGGTTGACCATGTGTAAGGCCAGCGCCCTCCCTGCTGTGCCATCCCTTTGGCCCTGTCTGAGATTTTAAGGTAATAGTCTTCACTTCTTCAGTCTGTGGATTTCGTGGTCTGATTTAGTTTTTCCAAAGCCCACTTAACTTGCCAATCATTAATATTAATAACTTTTGTTTTGGGGCCACCCAGTGGTGCTCAGGACTTGCTCTTCGTTCTGAGATCACTCCTGGCAGGCTCTGGGAACCCTATTGGGTGCCAGGGATTGAACCTGGGTGGGCCAAGTGCAAGGCAAACACCCCACTTGCTGTACTATACCTCTGACCCCTGTATGTGTGATTGATTTCTAAGTCAACTATTTAAACTTTGAACTTCACACATTTTGCAAAGAACAGAAACTGTTTTACGTCATTGTTTTTCCTTTTCTTTTTCTTTTTGGGCCATACCTGGCAGTACTCAGAGCATACTCTTGACTCTATACTCAGTGATCCTGGCAAGCTTGGGACTAGATGGGGTGCTGGGAATTGAACCCAGTTCAGCTGTGTGCAAAGCAAGCCCCTACCCCTGCCCTATATCTGGCTCCTATATTAGTTGTAAATCTTCCACATTGAGGAACATTACATAAATAATTTGAAATCAGGAAGGATTAATGATTGAATTCTCCCCTGTCAGTTTTCATGGTAATGAATTGCTCTGAACAGCATCCGTTGATGATTAATGAAGACTACTATTTTTCTTTTTTTTAGTCTTTATGAACTAAGAGCTATTATTTAGGTATTTATGAATTCAGGGAGTTGCAGTGATCATTAATTTTGATGCGATTGATCCATGAGTGTGCTTATTAATCTTAGAAAACTTCATTTTTTAACACAAAATGTTGGAGGCTCATTTTGTGACTCTCCTTTTTTTTTTTTAAATTTCTCCAAAAAGTTCTGTGCTTTTTTTGTTTATTTATTTTTTAGGCAACACTTAAAGCTAACTCCTGGCTTTGCACTTGGGGTCACTGCTGGTGGGCCCATGTGGGATGCCAGAGATCTAGCCCTGTCAGCCACATGCAAGGCAGACATTCTACCAGCCATACTGCCCAGTTCTGGAATTCTGGTTTTCAAAAATGGGAAATAGGGCTGGAGAGATAATACAGCGGGTAGGGTACTTGCACGTGCCAGATTCTCAGCGTCTTATGGGGTCCCCTGAGTAGACCAGGAGTGGTTCCTGAGTGCAGAGCCAAGGAGAAAATGTATTAAGAAACAGCAAGCTAACAGTTACAGGGTTGTTTATAGGGTTGTCATTATTTTAAATTTTCACTGAACGTGGTTATTTTTTTCAAAACTAAAAAAAAAAATTGGGGCTGGAGCAATAGCACAGCGGGTAGGGCGTTTGCCTTGCATGCGGCCAACCTGGGTTCGATTCCCAGCATCCCAGTTACTCCTCGAGCACCACCAGGAGTAATTCCTGAGTGCATGAGCCAGGAGTAATCCCTGAGCATCGCTGGATGTGACCCAAAAAGCAAAAAAACTAAAAAATCGTGTTTGTACGCATGATTCCAATGGAATGAAATCAAGAAATTAACTTCTACTATTATATATTTATGTATCATCACTCCTGAAAATCTTAGTTTTCAGTCATAGTAATAAAATTATTGTTGGCTTTCTTGATGTATATAACAAATTTCAGAATTAGTGTCAGTGCTAAGGGATGTGGGGTGTTTCCCTTGGAGCTCTTGCCTTCTTAGTACATATCTTGCTGTAGGTAGTTTTATCTGGGGGATATATAGAAATTTTATATACTTAGTAAATGTGTAAGTTATACAATTATATGAAGTACATTGTTACTGTTTAAGAATAAATTATAAATACTATGTAATTACTTTAACATAATTTATGAGCAGTGTAATTACTGCATATAGTTAGATAACAATCATAATGTATTATCATATAATTAATACTTAGAACATGTAATATATTTAAAATCATGGTCACGATCATGGTCCTTCCGTTGTTCATCGATTTGCTCAAGCAGGCCCAGTAACATTGTGAGACTTGTTACTCTGGTTTCTCTTCAAATCGTATAAATATATTTAAAATATGATATAAATATAATTTAACAATATATAAATGCATTATATATTAAGTTATCACATAACACATACAGCATAATGCATATGATTAAATATATATCATTATGTATATAAAATAGGATATATGACATCACATAAACAATATACAGTATATAACAGCAATACATGATTCAATATATGCAGGACACAATGCATGTTATACAATATGTATTATATGACAACATATATATGACAGCTGTCACAGATGCAATTTGTAATAATATCACACAAATAACATGTATATTATGATATGCATATAACTTGGGATATGTGATGTTGCCTGTGTTGCATGCCATAGTGCATATTTTGTATGTGATGCCACATATACTGTATAATACACACAATACAGTATAATACTATTATACAATATATCATACAATGTATTGTGTATAACATGGTATACATGTTGTATTATGTTTTTTTGTATACTATGTGATTTGCACTGTGCTGTTATATAATCATGTGGTTACAGAATATAAATAGATCATCTGTTGTATAACATAGTATTTAATACTACTTACAATATATGTGATTATAAACATAATTATATAGGATTGCAAAATCTATATTTTTATCACTGAAAGTGTATAATGAGCATTGTTTTATACTGCTTTTTCTCTTAGTGATGTATTCTGGGATTGCTATCTTATCAGTAGCTTAATATCTTATTAATGTATTTATTAAAAAATGTTTTTTAAATAGTACTGCTGTTTATTCAGTCACTGATAAAGATGACTGAATGTGCATGAACTCCACATTTTTTAATTTTATTAAAAATTTTTTTTAATTGAACATACGTGAGATAGACCTTTACAAAGCTGTTCATAATTGGGTTTCAGTCACACGATGATCCAGTACCCATCCTTCCATCACCATCAATGTCCCCTGTTTCCCTCCCATCATTCCCCAACACCCACCCCAGCCTCCCTCTATGGGCGGCACTTTCCTTCTTGCTTTTTCTCTCCTTTTCCTTTTGTGCATTATGGTTTGCAGTACAGGTACTAAGAGGTCATCGTGCTTATTCAGGGCTTTCGGTATTTTTATTGGGACAGTCAAGCTAGAGTAGCTTTTCAACTTTCGGGTGTGGATGTGACTGCCAAGGCTTCTGGAAGTATAGGGAGGTAGGGGGAGGTAGCCTATCCCGACCCCGAGAGAGCCTGGAGATTTCAGTCACAAAACCTGCATACCTGAATTTCAGCAGATTATATCTCGATGAGATCCATCCTGAGACGTGGAGTCAGGCCAGGGGTATGGTGGCGATTTTGTATTGTGGAAGCAAGTGGCTGCCGGGGACTCTACTTTGGCGGGCACCAGGCTGACCCCACTCCCCCTTCAGTTTACCCTGATAGTGTATTCTCTTAAGTCACTAGTTATGTCTTGTGTGGATCACTGTGATTCATTCATTCACTTAGTACCATATTGAGTCTTCTCTAAGAAGCCGTCTGGGTGTCAGAATCTCGTGTGATAGCTTAATATGATTGAAAAATTTAAAATAGTGTTATTGAAGTAGTAACCGAGAGTAATAGGGTTATGTTTTTGTTTGTTTGTTTCTGTTTTGGGGCCACACTCAGTGATGCTCAGGGGACCATGTGTGATGCTGGAGATTGAACCCGGGTCAGCTGCATGCAGTACCTTACCCAAGTCACTGCAGTGCTTCTGCAAGGTTGGCTCTTCTGCCTCTGGAGGACTTCGTTTATTTCAGTTAGGAAAGCCAAAAGTATAGAGAGTCTGGTATTAGCATGAGAGTGTCATTTCTATCCTTTTCACTGAACTGAAAATGCTTCTAAGAAAGAAGCCAGTGCTTCTCTGGTCAGAACTGTCTGCTGTTGAAATGTCCATAGTGCATCGGCATCACTGTTTCTGAGACTGATAGCAGCTCTTTCTCTTGGATCAGATGCTCTGCCTTACTCCATTCGGGTCCTGCTGGAGGCTGCTGTGCGCAATTGTGATGGGTTTTTAATGAAGAAGGAAGATGTCATGAACATTCTGGACTGGAGAACCAAGCAAAGCAACGTTGAAGTGCCCTTTTTCCCTGCCCGTGTTCTTCTTCAAGACTTCACGTGAGTGAGAGCGTATTCGGCATAAAGACATTTATTGAATTCCCATTTTAAAAATCAGACTTCCTGGTGATGTATGGTGTGGCGGTGGTTCTAATTTTGAAGATTATAGCTTATTTATTTATTTTTTGGGGCGGGGCCACACCCAGCGATGCTCAGGACTTGCTCCTGGCTCTGCACTTGGAATTACTCCTGGTGGTGCCTGGGATACTAATATGGAATACTGTGGATAGAACCCAGGTCAGCTGTGCTCAAGGCAAGTGCCCTCCCCACTCTGCTGCTGCTCTGACTTCACATGATAGTGTTTTTAAAATTGCTTCTCTAAACCAAAGCAGTTCATTAAAAATGGAAACACTTTTTCTTGTACCATTTTTTTCTTACATCATTTTTAAGAAAATAATTTGTTTTCTGCTTACTTGTCATCACAAAAGTAAAAGAATTCTGAAATTTAAAATGTACAAAGTTGGATTCTTGATTGCCCAGCTCATCTTCCTTGTTCTTTGGAAAGCTTCCTCATCATAGTAAATGACACAGTTGTCTTTTGTTGGTCTAGGGCAAGGATCTGCCTGTCAACTTTGGTGACTCTCCTTTCTCATACATAATCCTCATCCCTAGTCAACTCTTATCTTCGTGATTCATCTGGAGCCCAAGTTTGATCTATACCAATATTGCCTCGTATTTGGGTACTTAGTATCTGGTCCAAATGCCATTTATAAGATTATTTAGGCCCTTTCTCATTGACCTGAGCTACACTTAAAGACTTCTTAAAAAAAATTCTTGTTTTTGGCAGCAGTGGAAACAGGCTGGTCCTTCCCATCCCCCTGCCCGGTTGGGGTTCTGGCTGTCACTCCCAGGATCTGTCTCCAGGCGCCAACTCAGTGCATCAATGGCCTAGATCCAGAGACTCCCAAATGAATCTTAAAATGTAGGATTAGCTCCCTACAGAGATGTCTCTGGACTCCAACCATTTACAATTTTAGAATCCAGAAGTGGCTTCTCATGATATTCATAATAAGGAATAGTAAATAAATTGTCTAGCATCTGCCCCTGGCAGGCAGAGTTGAATGGTGGTTGGAAAATTCAAAATAATAATGGTGGGAAGGTGTAATGGTGATGGGATACTGAACATGATCTGGTGTTGAAATACTGAACATGATCAATTAATGTGAACAAACTTATGAAAAATTAAAGGCCCTCCCGTTGATCGTCGATTTGCTCGAGCGGGCCCAGTAACGTCTCCATTGGAGACTTTGTTGTTACTGTGTCTGGCAGATCGAATACTCTCGGTAGCTTGCCGGGCTCTCCGAGAGGGGCGGAGGAATCGAACTCGGGTCGGCCATGTTGGCCATGTGTAAGGCGAACGCCCTACCCGCTGTGCTATCGCTCCAGCCCTTATGAAAAATAAAATTTAAAAAAGTTGTTTGGGGGCCATACCTGGCTGTGCACCCAGGAATCACTCCTGGCGGTACGCGGGACCATCTGGGATACTGGGGATCAACTTGGGTCGGCCGCATGCAGAGCCACTGCCCTCCCTGCTGTGCTGTCTCTCTGGTCCCGAGACTCTGTCTGGTACCTCCGCTTCCAGCATTTAAGATCTGTGGTCTTGACATAGTTGGTGGAGTGATTTGGTTACAAAAGGTTGATATAGAGCACATCATTCCCCATTTGCAAATTGGCTACTATTACATTTGAAATAAAATCCAAAGTTGTTGCACAGACTAATCTGGGTGTCCAGGAATTATTAGAAAACTTAATCTTCAGTTGAATTGGAAGGTGTAGGCCTTTAACTGGGCACACGAGGGCATCACCGTCACCTCCGTCTCCCAGATGTGCTCTGTCTGTCATGCTCTGTTGTGTGTGCAAGTGCACGCACGTGTTTAGAATTCTGCTGTGTGAGTGCTGCTGTCTTCCTCGTGCTCCATGAGAGCAGAAGCCATGTCTTCCCTGACTGGGTTCCGTTGGTGTTCAGCATATTGAAGACTCTGGGTGATATGCAGTGACCGGGAAGCTTTGGAGTAGCTGGAACTAGGGAACGGGAGGGCGGAGCCCTGATATGGAAGGCAGGAGAAAGAGCTTCAGACAAGGGAGTTCCGTGAAGATCTCCATGCCTCCATGCCTCATCTCGTTATACTGGTACATTGGACCCGGACTACTTAGGTTTCAGATAACAGTTAACGTTACTTCCATTAACTCTAACTTCAGGGGGCTGGAGTGATAGCACAGCGGGTAGGGTGTTTGCCTTGCATGCAGCCGACCCAAGTTCGATTCCCAGCATCCCGTATGGTCCCCCGAGCACTGCCAGGAGTAATTCCTGAGTGCGGAGCCAGGAGTAACGCCTGTGCATTGCTGGGTGTGATCCAAAAAGCAAAAAAATAAAAATAAAAAATAATTTTAGATAACGTGTGTCAAGCGCATGTGAAAGGGATTCTTTTTTAGAGATAAAGAACGAATGCCTATGAAGTATTTGCGTATCTGTAACACAAAACTGACTGTCATCTGCTCACTCTTTCTTTTTCAGTGGAATCCCTGCAATGGTAGATTTTGCTGCTATGAGGGAGGCGGTGAAAACTCTTGGAGGTGACCCTAAAAGAGTCCACCCTGCCTGTCCTACAGATCTGACGGTTGATCACTCCTTGCAGATTGACATCAGTAAATGGTACGTACAGACTCACCCAGCCAGACTTGCAAATTCCCTGACTGCCGCTGGGTGCATGTGGTCTGGAAAATTGAGTGGAGATCATTTTACCAGAGCAGACATGCTCCACTTGTGCTGAGACTGCTGGAAACTGTGCTCGGATGAAATTCTTATCCCTCCCTCTTTTTCTTTTTTCTTGTTTGCATGGCCATCCTAGCAGTGCTTCTGGGGTAGGGAGTGGGGAGCGCGTAGAATCCAGGGCCTGGAACATTCTAAGCTTATGCTTGACCTCTTGGCCGACATCAGTGTGGCTTTAAAGCACACTGATTCATTGTGACTTTAAGCTGCTGATTGTGTTTGTTTTGGGGGCAGACCCAACAGTGCTTGGGATGACTCCCAGGTCATTCATTGCTCAGGGCTCACTCCTGGCTCTGCAGTCAGGGCTCTTCCTGATGAGCTTGCCAGGACTGTGTGGGTTCCAGGGATTAAACCCAGTGGACCATGTCCAAGGCAAGCACCCTACCCCTTATACTGTCAGGTCCCTACGTTTTTTTTTTGGGGGGGGGGTCACACCTGGTGATGCACAAGGGTTACTCCTGGCTCTACACTCAGGAATTACTCCTGGCGGTGCTGGGGGACCATATGGGATGCTGGGAATCGAACCTGGGTCAGCCGTGTGCAAGGCAAATGCCCTACCCAGTGTACTGTCGCTCTAGCCCCTAGAAGTGACTTTCATATAGTGAACTTTGATTTCAGTCTTTTTTCCCTTAAAAAAAAAAGAAACTTTATTTCCCAGGGCTGTAGCAAGAGGTCTAGGGACTGAGTATTCTTTGCTTTGCATGCAGGAGACCTGGATTGGTCCTTGGTATCTAATGTTCCCCGAGCACTGTTGGAAGTGACTGCTGTCACCAGGTGTGACCCCCTCAGAACCAAATTATATCAAGATGATTAACCTCTCGAGAGACTCTGGCGATACGATCTCTTCAGGTCTTTTACTTGCCAGTGCTTAGAAGCACTGGGCTCACAGAGCACTGTTGCCGTTTCACTTGATCAGCTGTTTCTTGTGGGGACCATAGCCCACAGTGCTCAGGGCTCTGACCACGTGGAGGCAGGCACCTTCCCCGATGTACTGTCTGTCTAGCCCACACACAACTCAGGACACAACTCAGGACTTACTCCTGGCTCTGTGCTCAGGGATCACTCCTGCCGGGTTTGGGGACCTTGTGAGATGCTGGAGGTCAAACCTGGGTCTAGCACGTGCAAGGCAAATGCCCTGCCCATTGTCCTATCACTCCGGCCTCCCAGTAAACTTTTCTGTAAGGATTTTTTTGTTTGTTTGTTTTTTGTATTTTTGCTTTTTGGGTCACACCAAGGAATATTCAGGAGTTATTCCTGGCTCTGTACTCAGGAATCATTCTTTGTGGTGCTCAGGGGACCATATGGGATGCCAGGATTGAACCTGAGTCCACTGCTTGCAAAGCCTTACCCGCTGGCCTATCATTCTGGCCCCTGTAAGGATTTTTTAACAAAAGATTTTTTGACAGAGTAGTATATTCTACTACTCTGATTTGGTACAGCCTAGGACTTTGCCTTCTAGATTAAAATGAGTGAGTTCCTCTTAATGTCAGACTTAAAAATTCTGTTTCACTATTTGTTAAACATTTTTTTAAATTGTTACTTAATAAGTATATGAACATGATTTTATTGGTCACTTAGAATTATATTGTGTCCATAAATTAAAAATGACCTATTTTGGTAACCTGAGATGCGGTTTTAAAAATCTGAGCTGTATGTAATATATTTGAATAATTTCTGAGTATTTCCGGATAGCATGATTGGTATGTGTCTTATGGAAAGCTGTATTTCTATTGCTTTTACATTTTTTCTTTTAATTGCTTTTGTGTTTGTGTTGACAGTGCAATACAGAATGCTCCCAACCCTGGAGGTGGGGAGCTGCAAAGGGCAGGGAAGATCCCGCCCCTCCCAGCACACCCTAAGAAGCTTCCCTGCAGAGGCCAGACCACCTGCCGGGGGCCCTGTGACTCCGGAGCACTGGGCCGAGACTCGGGAAGATTCTCTTCACAGATTGAGAACACGCCCATCCTCTGTCCATTCCACTTGCAACCAGTGCCTGAGTATGAGATTTTAAAAACATTTTAGTGTGGCTCTTAACTCCCTTTCCCTCTTAGCTCCTCAAATGGAATGACTTCATACTTAATGTGCTGAATTCAAATTGACGTTTATTTTCTATCGTACAAAAGAAGTGGAGGTAATTAAAATGGTACTCTTTAATGCCATTATTCATTTTAGTTCCTTAGAAGAAAATGTTTCTTAAATATGTTGGTTTTGTTTTGGGGCCACATGCAGTGGTTCTTAGGGGTTCCTCCTGGCTCTGTGCTCAGGAGTCCTTCCTGGTGGTGCTTGGGGACCCTGTGGGATGCTGGGAATCCCACCTGGGTCAGCCATATGCAAGGCCAGTCCCGTCCGCTCTGTGCCATCTATCTCTTCAGCTTCAGGATCTTGATTCTTGAGATTGAAATTTTTGTGCTGAACTAAGTTCCCTAAAAAAGAAGATTTGCTGAAAAGAAAATCAGTTTTCTTCATTGACAGAGCATGAAGTGCTAAGATGGTACATCTGTCTCTAAGACCATTTGTAAGGCAAACGCGAATCACTCCTAGCAGTGCTCAGGAGACCTTATGGGGTGCAGGGATTGTAGCACTCGTAAGTCTTACCCGCTGCGTTATCTCTCTGCCTTGAGGGTTATAGTGCTGTATGTGTGACTTCTTCCCTCTGTTTTTACTCTATAAAACCAGGAAGATGGCTATATTTAGACCACGGCTGTTTATCTTAGTGACTCTCGTGTGTTCTTTAAGGATCAGTAAAGCATTAATTATATGGTCTTCAAAAATATGGAAGGGAGAGCATGCATCTGGCACTCTAGATCACTGCCTAATTGGAGGTTAAGCTGTGCATTGGTGTGTATGGCCTGAGCTATGGGAAGGTGCAATAATTGGAGAGTGATGTCACAAAGACCTATTCCCCGAGGCACTGGGTAGAAATCTCATTAGGAGGTGCAGTGCCTAGTCTCAAGTGGTCATCTAGCCATGAATTATTCAAAGTAATCTTTGTATTAAAAAGTTAACAGTTAGACAGTGGCAATTATCTGGTCCCTTGAGGACACGTGTAATTGTGTTATTGATGTTCTTGGCACCACATAGTCACCACTGGCAGGTGAAAGAAACAATTGAAAGCTGTTTAAAATACTTTAGAAACATCATTAGATAAAAATGGTTTCCTGAAAATGAAATTGTTTTCTGCTTGGAGGTGAACAGTTTTTTTCCTGTTTTTTTTTTTTTCTCCTGGTTTTGAGGCCAAACTGGGTGATGCTCAGGGGTTACTCCTGGTTCTGCACTCAGGAATCACTCCTGTGACACTCAGGAAACCTTATGGGGTTCAGGGATTGCAGCCATGTGTAAGGCAAATGTCTTACCCACTGCATTATCTCTCTGCCTATCCACCCACCTCCACCACCAGTTGAATTGTTTTTTCTCTTATTTTAAATGAGGCACATACATGCTTCTTAAGCCATCCTACTATAAACATGTCCCATAAATCTTATTTTTCTTTTTTCCCCCTTAATATATGTCACTATACTACAAACCTGTAAGTCATTCGTGTGTCTGTAATAATGAGATTTAATTTATACATAAAAATCTTTCTGCATTCAAGTGGGGAAAAGGACAAAACTTGATGTTTGTCTTGTATCCTGTCAGAGGAAATAATGTGGAGGAAAAAAAAAGCTAGCTGGGGAATACACTTTTGTTGTGGAGTAAATTAGTTTCCTCCTTGTACGTCCAGCCAAACCTGCCTTGTTGTTTGTAAAAAGGTCTTAGCCCAGTCTTACAGTAAGGAATGTTAGGTTGGGTTCTGTTACATGTTTTTGAAGGAAAACTTCCTTCTCCAAAGAAAGATGATTCTGGGAAGTCTAGTAAATTGCCATTTCAAGGATTTAAAAGATGTAGTTATGTGCGTAAGAATTAGGACTTAAATAAAGTAGTTCTTTTCTCTAGTACATACATTTAATGCTGGTTCTTCTTCCTTTTAGACCTGAAACAGTGTTAAAAAACCAAGAAGTAGAATTCGGCAGAAATCGAGAAAGGCTTCAGTTTTTTAAGGTATAAGTGATTTGGAGGAATTTAAAAACTTTGAATCTGTTCATTTTTTTTTTTGTCTTCTGACTCCTGGATTTTAAACACTTTATGTCAGTGGAAACTTTGTTCTTCCTGGGGGTCTTCTCAGCCCCCATGTGTAACTGTGGAAGAAGGTTGAAGAGATGCCAGGGAGTGCAAAAGGCCCCTGGTGACCCCCGGGCACTGCACCCTCCCCCCAGCACTGCCAGCTCTAGGGCTGATGGTGACCCTTCAGCATGGGACTTTGGTTCTAGCAAGACTTGATCCTAGCAGGATACTGGGGGGCATGGGGAGTGCTTAGGCCCCCAGTCGTGGAGATTCCCTCAAGTAAATGCCCACATAATACATGCTCTGCTAAGCGTGAGCTTGGAGGGCCTCGTGTAGGGCCTACTCGAGCTCCCTGTTTCTTAGGTTCTTTGAAACATAACTGAATGTTCCCGTTTATTTGGGTTGGCAAAACGAGTATGTTTAGCTTTAGCATGTGCAGACTGGTTTGTGTCTGTCATAAGCTCTGTCCACATTGAACACTAGTAAAAAAAACTTAGTGTCAATATTTGTGTCTCGAGGTAAACACAGATTTTCATGCTAATAAGTGTTTTTCAAATTTAACAAAATACAGTGGAGCTCACGCGTTTTTAAGAATGTGGCTGTGATCCCTCCTGGAACTGGAATGGCTCATCAAGTCAACTTAGAGTATTTGTCTCGAGTGGTTTGTGACGAGAACAACTTCCTCTTCCCAGACAGTGCGGTTGGCACAGACTCCCACATAACCATGGTGAACGGTTTGGGGATTTTGGGCTGGGGTAAGTCAAGGAATGCGTGCATTTCATTTCACTTGGGAGCAGACTTTAGGAGCATTGTAAAGGAACACATAAACAGGCGTGACCTCAAGTCATTTTGAACATACATATTCATCTATTAGAGCATTCTCAGAAATGGGAAACAGTGTGTTTGTGGACATTGTGGTATAAGGACATGTGTGAAAAGAAACCTAAGTGCTCAGCACAGTGTACACGGGGGTGCTGATGTCTGAAAGGGACAGGATTCCCCGAGGAAGGCCCCGTAGTGCCCATCTTGGCTGCCAGCTACCCGTGTACTTGTGCTAACAAAGGCCCTCCCTGCCAGCTGCTGTACACCTTTCACTCCCCCGAGGATTGCTGAGACTTTGTGACTTTGCACGGCTCTTCCCTGGCTAACGTCTTGACTCCTTCTGAATGGATATCATCCTTGATGAGATTTTTTTTAATTAGACTGAGTTTGAGGTTGATAGGAGCTGGGTTCTGTTCATTATTGTTTCGTGAATATAGTACAATGTCTAGCACAGTAAAGTATGTTTACTGAATTTAATATGAAGCCAAAAATTATTTCTTTAAAAAGCTTTGTGTATTAGTATAGTTTGGGGCGGGGGGTCCCACCTGGTGATGCTCAGGGCTTGCTCTTGCAGTGCTTAGGAGACCATATGGGATGCTGGGGATGAAACCCAGGTTGGCCGTACACAAGGTAAGCGTCCTACTCGATCTGGCCCTTCGTGCAGTAAGCTTTCAGACAGGGTCTGGAGAGTACCATCGAATGTGGCTTAACCCCCCCCCAAAAAAATCCCAAGTTTCGTGTAATGACCTTTAGGAGCAGCCTTGGGTTCCTTGCTCGTGACGACCATGCAGCTACATGAAGGCTGTAGCAATGTTTCTGAGGCAGTTTGATGTGATGGAGCATGACTTCTCTTCCCTTATTCTGCTCTGATGTGCCGTCTTCCTCCAGGGGTCGGAGGCATTGAGACAGAAGCAGTGATGCTCGGTCTGCCCGTTTCTTTGACCTTACCAGAGGTGGTTGGCTGTGAGTTAACTGGCTCTTCAAACCTTTTTGTTACATCCATAGATGTTGTTCTTGGCATTACAAAGGTAAGTGGAAGCAGTGGTGTTCGTGTCACTTCGTACCTCTGTATTTCCCTACAGTCTGTTGTAGCTGTTGTCAGCATCGCAGTGTTTGGCGGTTGCACTCTTGTCTTTTCTGCTGGCCAGAATGTGGACACTGTGTCCTGCTGCCACGGCCACAAGCAGGGCTGGAGCTGGGATTCTACCACTGGGGCTCTGGCGGAGTTGAGCTTTGGGGAAGGCTGGTCCTTAGTGAATATTGTTTTTTTTTATTTGATTTTTAAAATTTCGGTTTTGGGTCACATCCAGCAGTACTCAGGGATCACTCCTGCCTCAGGGGGCAACCATTTAGGGTCCGGCGTGTTCTGCCTGCGTTACCCTCTCCAGTCCCTGGACAGTGTTTTATGGAAATAGGGGTACTTAGATATTGTTTTATCCCTGAACCCTTAGCCCTGCTGTCATTAGCTGCAGGTCCTAACCGTGACTAATGCTAGTTCCCGTACTAGCAAATAGGTAACACTTTGTGTTGGCATGTGAGGGTCAAAGCCTCTGGTACAGGGACTCTCACAGACCCCATCTGTATTCTGAGGAAAGGGAGACATGGTAAGATTTAGTGACCATTCAAGGGTCATAGGCTGAACAGGAAGTGGTAGACAGAAGGGTTCTAAGGCTAGGTAGCTGCGTGGGAGTGTGACTTAGTTTCCGAATCTGTCTTCTGAGCCATGTGCCTTTCTGTTCAGTGAGCACTTACTACATTCAGATATGTAGAGCTGCTGAGCCAGGGTACAGCCAGTGGGCGCTTGCCTCACACACGGCCAACCTGGGCCTCATGTCTGCATCCTGTCTGGTCCTCCCCGAGCCCCACCAGGAGTGAGTCCTGAGCGCAGGAAAGTATGTGGCAGAAATCTGAGGTCAGCTTCTGTTTGCCATCTGAAGCTTTCAGTCTGCCTTCAGGAGCGTCTGTCTCCTGGTTGGTGTCTATCTCTTTGCCGATTCCCACTCCCGAGAAGCCCGTGTTCTCTCTTGAACACACAGTTCCCTCCTCTCTCCTGTCACATCTTTATTTGTTGTTTTTGTTTTGGGCCACATCTGGTGATGCTCAGGGGTTACTCCTGGCTCCCTGCTCAGGAATTGTTCCTGGTAGTGCTCGGGGGACCCTGTGGGATGCCGGGGATTGAACCCAGGTGCCAGGCCAGACCCTCCTGCTCCAGCCCTGGGAAGATAGTTTTTATTGAACAAAGCCTGCTTAGAAAAATGTGACAGGAGGTGCTGGAGTGATTGTGCAGTGCTTGCCTTGCATTGCAGGTGATCCGGGTTTGATTTTGAGCACCGCCAGGAGTAACCCCAGAGCATCACTAGGTGTGCCCCTAAAGCAAAAACAGTTGTCTCCCTTCACTTAAAAAAAAACAAACAAACCAGTAAACATCACTCTGCAGATGATAATTTTAGAAATATGGACAGTGGTAATTAATAGTGTTTTTTTTTTCTTTTTTTCTTTTTTCTTTTTGGGTCACACCCGGCAATGCTCAGGGGTTACTCCTGGCTCATGCACTCAGGAATTACTCCTGGCGGTGCTCGGGGGACCATATGGGATGCTGGGAATCAAACCTGGGTCGGCCATGTTGGCTGCGTGCAAGGCAAAGGTCCTACCCGCTGTGCTATTGCTCCAACCCCTTATATATGGTTCTGATCATTTTTGTTAGTAGAAACATTGTGTCTGAATTTATAAATATTGGGTACATATATGTTTGATTTGTGTTTATATTTGCTTATATTTGCTTCTATAGAATATGATTATTCATGATTTCTAATGACAGAAATTTTCAGTTTTCCTTAACTTTTTTTGATGGTTAATTCCCAGTTTGATAAGTTAATGAAGGTGAAAGTGTTCCACATGTGACTTCAATTTGATTGATCTGAAGGCTTTTAGGATACTCCTCAGGGAAAGGAAATGGCATTTTCCCCCTGGTAATATTGATCTTTTTCCCTAAATAGAAGGAAAAAACCGGCATCTTAAGAAATGATCAGTTAGGCGCATTATACCAAAAATCAAGAAGTTTAATTAAGAACTGCAGTATTATTCCTAGAAGAAAAGGACTGCCTGTAATGTTATTAGAGAAATCAATTCTTTCCTTTGGACATTCTGAAAAATCAATGCTGCTTTTTAGACTCCTATAGCCTTTTCCCCCCCCCCCCCCCCCTTTTACCAATTTTGCGCTCGTTTTGTGATGAGTGCTCAGGGACTATTCTGAGTTCTGTGCTACGGGTCGAGCCCAGGCCATGCATGTGGGAACCATATTCAGTGCCAAGGATTGAACTGGGGGAGTTGGTCAAGTGCAAGGAAATACTCTACCATCTTTTTGGCCCTCCTCTGTTTGTGGCATTTTTTTTGCTTCCAGTTATTCTTTGAGGTTCTGCTTTATTTATGATCTTTATAGGATTAATTATGCATTGTTTTCAGAATGTTATGGGAATGAGAGCATTGCTTGGCTTGATGTATCTAAACAGTATTTCCTTCATTTTCAAATTCGTTTTTCATTAAAACTTTTTGGGGGGCTGGGGCGATAGTACAGCAGGTAGAGCATTTGCCTTGCATGCGGCTGACCTGGGTTTCATCCCTAGCATCCCATATGGTCCCCCAAGCACCGCCAGGAGTAATTTCCTGAGTGCAGAGCCAAGAGTAACCCCTGAGCATTGTTTATGTGATTGAATTTTGACATCTGAAAATAAGCTTGATTCAGGGGTCTCCCTTCCCCAGAGTGGTCAGACCATTCCCTGGGGGCCCTGGAACCATTCGGGGTGAGGCACCAGGAGCCTCTTCTACAATTGGAGGGTGGAGTGTTTTCATTTCTCTGTTGGGGTGCGAGCGCCACACCCTGCAGTGCTCAGGGCTCACTCCTAGCTCTGCACGCAAGAATTCCTCCTGGAGGTGCTCATGGGACCCTGTGGGTGCCTGGGATCGAACCCGGGTTGGCTGCGTTCAAGGCAAGCACTTTCCCTGCTGTACTGTCTCTCCGCCCTTTTTACTTGTTTTCCTCTGGAAACGTCAGTAGGTGGAAGAGGTTTCGGGAGCCTCTACTCTACATCGCTAGGTTTTCTGCTTGGGTGGGAGGGCGCTGTCTCAGTCTCAGTTCGTCCCCTGACACCCCCCCCCCCCCCCCCCCGGCAGCCTCCCATGTTCTTGGGAGACAATTGTGCAAAGGTGAGTAGTGGTTTTGGTTACTTGGTAGTAATTAAGGAAAATGATATTAGAAAAAGTTCAATGTAAAGTTCAAGCGGGAAGTCCTATCAGAAATGGAATTCTTACAGCATATGTATCACGGTCACGGTCCTCCCGTTATTCTTCGATTTGCTCGAGTGGGCCCAGTAATGTCTCCATCGTGAGACTTGTTACTGTGTTTGGCACATTGAATACGTCACGGGTAGCTTGCCAGGCTTTGCCGGGCGGGCGAGATACTCTCGGTAGCTTGCCAGGCTCTTGGAGAAGGGAGGAGGAATCGAACCCGGCTCGCCGGGCTGGCTATGCACAAGGCAAACACCCTACGGCTGTGCTGTTGCTCCAGCCCATAGCATTTGTATATATACAAAATACATATGGTGAGTTGTATTTGTTTCTTGTTTTTGCTTTTGGGCCACACCCACAGACTTACGCCTCGGTCTGTGCTCAGGGGCCCTCTGTGTTGAAGCAGGGTCAGCTCTCCCCATCCTCCCTGCATTCTCCCATCTTTCCTGCCCATATATTTATATTCAAATACAGAATGTCGTCGATTGCCTCGAGCAGGCCCCAGTAACGTCTCTTTCATCCTAGCCCTGAGATTATATTCAAGACTCTTTAGGAGAATGAGACCCATCATTGTTACTGGTATTTGGCATATTTGGTACGCCACGGGGAGTTAACAGAATGTCAATCTTTAAAAAAATTTTAAACACTAAGTATTTCCTGAAATCTCACGCACTATCAGTTGTGGAGTCATCATTATTCCTGTACGGCAGAGAAGCGCCCTGCCAGTGACTGGACCACTGCTGACTGTAGCTGCGTTCTGTAGCTCTTCCGAGGTATCTTTGACCTTCGTGATGTGAAAATGACCTACCAGACCTCGGTGGTGGTGGCTCTTAGAACATCAGATACCCTCTCTACTGCCACTAACACTTGTTAACCAGATTTTTCTACTTTTCAGAGTGCACGCTAACCTGACTCTTGCTAACTTGGCATTTTATGTGTTTTATATAGCACCTCAGGCAAGTAGGAGTGGCTGGAAAGTTTGTTGAGTTTTTTGGAAGTGGAGTTTCACAATTATCTATGGTGGATCGAACTACAATAGCAAACATGTGTCCAGAATACGGTGCTCTCCTCAGTTTTTTCCCTGTTGACAATGTGACAGTAAAACATTTAGAGCATATAGGTAAGAAGACACATAAGATCATTATCTTAAGGTGTTGTATTTCTGACTTGTCCATCTAAAATAATTTATAATCTGTCTTGTACTTCTTTACCTAATGATTTATTTTGAAACTGTGACATTCCAGTAACGGCATCAGTGCTTTAAAGATAGTTGTGCTCTCAAACCCAGTCCCTTATTTCCCATTGATAGCAGTTTCCCAAAAAATGATGTTGGGGGGCGTGGGGAGCAGCACACCTGGCAGTGCTCAGGGAGAACTGAGCGGGTTCAGGAGACCTTTCAGGGTGCCATGGAAGTAGCCTAGGCCCACGCATTCCAGGCAGCCTGAGCGCTGTACTGTGTGGCCCAGTCGCGTGGTCCTTGCTCACTTCTCTTGGATGCCTGTCAGGGGAAGGGAACTCTGTGCTGTTGATGTTGTGCCTTCTCCACGGAAGGCAGAACCTGGGAAACTGGACACCTGGGCAGTCGCAGGTCCTGGAGCCCCCACTTCATGCTTCAGAAGGCCTCTGCTCTGTGTGAAGTAGCCTGGTTTTGGGCCACACCTGGTGATGTTCCGGTTGTGCTCGTGAGACCATGTGGAGTACCGGGGATTGAAGTCAGGCCAGCTATGTGCAGGCCAAGAGCTTCATCCATTGGGTGGACTCTCTCCGGTCCCAAACACAGGAGTTTAAATCTGATCCACGTTTTTAAAGTAATGATTTCAGAATTCAGAATCTCTGAACATAGATAAATTGGGGACTGTGTTATCCTAGTACTCTTAAGTTTGGGGTAAGATTATGATGCGTGAGTGAGCTGAATGGCCAGCAGATGCTTGCTTAGTCACGTGGGCCTTTGGAGGAGTGTTTCTCACTGAAGGCAGAGTTTTCTGTAAACCCTATATTCAGTTTAGAGAATATGTAAGAAATGGTCGGTGAAGCCTTTTAGCATATAAAGGGGTTGTTATTAAGTGCTAATTTAAAAATGCTTCTGTTCTCAGTATGTGGTTATGTCTAATATGTGTTTCTTACTTATCATGTGAATTGCTCCCCCTCAAAGATTTCTAAATTCCTTACAAATTTTTTTCCCCTCATCTTTCTAGGCTTTGACAAAGCCAAACTCAAGTTAATAGAAACATACCTTAAAGCTGTGAAGTTGTTTCGAAGTGACCAGACTCCTTCAGGACAGCCTGAATATTCCCAGGTAGATCCATAATAGTCTGAATTCTGGGGCTGGGGCATCCCCTTGAAGATGGCGTGCACTTGGTGAATTCCATGATACACTCTCCTCTCCAACTCCCCCCCCCCCCCCCCCAAGACATCACCTGGTATAACCTTGGTTTTCGCTGACACCGAGAGCCCCTGCAGGACCGTGTCCTTGTGCTCTGGTGTTGAACTGCTGTGCCCAATTGCAGGGCTTTTACTGGGCTCCCGAGTACTTCCAGGGGCCCTCCTATACCCTAAAAACTGGGTTGAAAATCAGCTCTGGGACATAAACTTTATATCATCCTGAGTGGTGATTTGTTAATCCGTTTCTCTGGGTTTTGTTAATTGTTTTGTTTTGGTGTTGGTTGTTGGGCCACACTTGGTAGTGCGCAAGACTGAGCAAAGAGGCTCTGAACTCAGGAGTCACTCTTGGCCGTGCTCGGGGACCCTCTGAGATTCAGGGATCACACCCGGGTCAACTGCTTGCAAGGCAAGTGCCCTCCCCGCTGTCCTTTTGCTCCCGACCGTGCTTCTCCGCTTCTGGAAGAAGACCTGCCGCATCCCCTGTATATGCACGCGCATAGATGAGGCGCACAGTGCTTGGTGAGCACTATGCCAGGGTTCGTGGCCCTGTCGGGTCAAGCAGTTGCCTGTGCCATTCACATTGGCATTGGAATCGGGGCCTCCTGGTGGCTTCTGGCAGGAAGTGGCCTGCTGAGGTGCAAGTTTGTTAGCCCTGACCCAGGGAACCGTCTGGCTTTGGGTTTTGTATTGGGGGACAATTGTTTCATAAGTTCAGTGGGGTCATTTGAAAAACTTTCTTCGGGGCTTTATTTCCTTAAACAAACTGGCATTGAAACAAATCTGATGAGTCATATGCTTCCAAAGAGAGCATTTGGTTCTAAGTCTATACTTTTGGGCTATGATTCCATCTTCCTCCTCTCATTTCTAGGTGATCCAGATTAATCTGAATTCAATCGTCCCCTCTGTCAGTGGTCCCAAAAGGCCTCAGGATAGAGTTGCAGTGACAGATATGAAAAGTGACTTCCAGGCCTGCCTGAATGAGAAGGTGCAGTATCTCATTATTTCTTACTCGTGTGCTTTGTTCTAAGCAAGGGAAGGATGGTCACAGTGAAGCAACCTATGGCTGGTTTAATTTACTTGTCCAGACACATTGCCATTAGCTCTTTTGTTCAGTGCATTTCTGCCAGGAGTGAGCCCCGAGCTCACTCCTGAGGGGGTCCCCATTCTATCCACCCTTTGATAAAAACCTTCGGGCACACCTGGCGATGCCCAGGAGTTACTCTTGGCTCTGCAATCAGGATAGTCCTCGTGGTGCTCAGAGGACCCTGTGGGATGCCGGGAACCAAGCCCAGGTTGATGTGTGTGTAAGGCTAGCACCCTCCCTGCTGTCCTGTCTCTCCAGTTCCTCCCCCCAGTTTTTAAAATTCATTATTTGGTTTGGTTTTTTTGACACACTTGCTGTTCTCAAGGCTTACTCCTTCACTCTGCACTCGGTTCACTCCTGGCTGCTCTCAAGGGATCCTTGGTGATATCAGGCATGGAACCCAAGTCGGCTGCATGCAAGGGCAGTGGCCGACCCCCTGTCCTGTCTCTCAACCCCTGAGTTAATGTTTGGGTTGTTGTTGTGATCAGTCTGTACTGTGTCCGTCTTCTCCCGAGGGCCGGGCTCTCTCAAAGGTATGTTTAATTCTATATAGGTCGGATTTAAGGGCTTCCAAATCGCATCAGAAAAACAGAATGACATTGTTACCATTGGTTACGAGGGAAGTGAGTATACGCTGGCGCACGGCTCAGTGGTCATCGCTGCAGTGATCAGCTGTACCAACAACTGTAATCCATCGGCCATGCTTGCTGCAGGTAGGCTGCCTGCGGCCCTGGCCCTCGTGCTTGGACATTGCCGTCTACATGCTGACTTGCTAACATATTACTAGGTCTCAAAGAGCCTAATTTGAATTTCTTATTACACAAAGTAAGTGTTTTAAAATGGCATCCTGAGTTTGTTCTGGTTTCGGGTTGTATCTGGTTCACTGACTGAGATTTTCAGAGTCAGGTACTTCCTTTTGTATAAGTAGTCCTCCATGGCAGCGTGCTAGTTTCCATGGGGATTTTGGAGGCCAGAAAAGATTATTGATAACTGGCAGTGAAGTCTGTGGCATACTCAAGGGACAGTTTGTTCATAGTAGGTGGTATTGTAAATGTTAAATTGCTCTTAGTTCTTTGTGATCATTACATTAAAAATGGTTCAGTGCCTTCCCCCCCAAAGGAAAAGAAAAATTGGTACATCTGACCATTCTGCACAGTATGTTACAGGGTTTCTAATTGATCATAATGACTTGGAGACCATGCTAAATCTGTTCTAGATACCGATCACTTTGATTTGGTGTGTCTAATCCCATGATGGTGGTTGGTACTGGAGCAATAGCACAGCAGAGAGCGCGTTTGCCTTGTAGACAGCCAACCCAGATTCAATCCCCAACACTCCATAGGTTCCCCTGAGACTGCCAGGAATGATCCCTGAGCACTGAGCTGGGAGTACACTGTGAGCACTGCAGGTGTGAACCAAAAACAAAAGCAAAAAAATAAAAAGAATTCAGACCCTAAAGCCTGCTGTTTGCTTGATGTTAATTTGGGTGGGATGGTGGGGCCACATGTTGGAGTGTTCGGGTCTAGTTGTGTGCTTTGGGGCCTCTCTCGTCCCTCAGCCTTTGTTATTTATTTTGGTGAGCGGGGGTGTACACAGCAGTGCTCAATGCTTTCTCCTGGTTCTGAGCTCAGATCACTCCTGGTGGACTTGGGGGACCATATTTGTGCCAGGGATCAAACCTGAGCCATCAGTGTGCAGGGCACACACCCTCCCCCAGTCCTGTTGCCGAGCCCCCAGAACCCTGTCTCTTACATGAACCCTTTGTTCTGTGTGCCGGAGGGAGGACACTGATGCAGTGACTGCTTTGTGCTGCCTGCAGGTCTTCTGGCTAAGAAGGCTGTGGAAGCTGGACTGAGTGTGAAGCCCTACATCAGGACCAGCCTGTCTCCAGGCAGCGGGATGGCGACTCACTACCTCAGTGCCAGTGGAGTGCTGCCTTACCTCAGTCAGCTTGGGTGAGCCCCTGTCCCCTGTGCCCGTGGTCAGCAGTCGCTGCTTCCCTCCCGGTTTCCCATAGAGAAGACTCTGGGCAGTAGCCCTTGTTGTTTCCTTCCACTGCGCAGTCTGTGGGATGTGATCACTCAGCCTTTACTGGGCATGTTCATGACTAAGGCCCTGTGCTCGCCAGGGAGAAGTAGGAAGTGTTATCCGGGGTCTGGAAAAGTCCCTTCCAGAATCTTAGCCACATGTGGGTAGTGACAGATGGAAAGGTGTCCTGACTGATGAGACTGTTCTCTGAAATGCAGGTTTGAAGTCGTCGGCTACGGGTGCTCTACATGCGTGGGAAACACAGCGCCTTTGGCAGAAGCAGTTCTGAATGCAGTGAAGCAGGTACAGGGCTGGTTCCTCAAGCCAGCCAACTGAGCTCTCCGGGCTGGGATCTGCTGAGGGGTTAGGAAGGTGCATGCCAGTGCGCTTCGAGTACACTGGTCCTGTATGTGACTATGAAAATGAAGCAGAGTCATTTATAGGCCCTTGAAATAACCCCTCAATAATAGCACTGTCCTCCCGTTGTTCATCGATTTGCTCGAGCGGGCCCAGTAACGTCTCCATTGTGAGACTTGTTGTTACTGTGTTTAGCATATCGAATGCGTCATGGGGAGCTTGCCAGGCTCTGCCGTGCGGGCGAGATACTCTCGGTAGCTTGCTGGGCTCTCCGAAAGGGGCGGAGGAATCGAACCTGGCTCAGCCAGGCTGGCTGCGCACGTGGCAAACTCCCTACCGCTGTGCTGTTGCTCCAGCCCCACAACAAGGAATTACTCTGAGGATTTAGTTTTTGGTTTTGGGTTTTTTTTCTTTACTCAACCTGTGCTTTGGGCTCATTACTGGCTCTGTGCTTTGGGTTCATTCCTGGCTTAATGTTCAGGACTACTCCCGGTTCTGTGCTCAGTGCTACTCCCGGCTCTGTGCTCAGTGCTGACTCCTGACTGTTTCGGGCTCACTCCTGGCTCTGTGCTCGGAGCTGACTCCTGGCTCTGTGCTCAGCCCTGACTTCTGGCTCTGTGCTCGGAGCTAACTCCTGACTCTGTGCTCACGACAGACTCCTGGCTCTATGCTCAGCACTAACTCCTGACTCTGCTCGGAGCTTACTCCTGGCTCTGTCTCTGTACTGACTCCTGGATCTGTTCTTGGGGCTCACTCCTGGCTCTGTGCTTGGGGCTGACTTCTGACTCTGTGCTTGGTGCTTACTCCTGGTTCTGTGCTCAGCGCTGACTCCTGGCTCTGTCCTCCAAGGGTCACTCTTGATGGCCTCTGGGAAACCCAGTGGGATGCTGGGGATTGAATTAGAATTTTCCATCAAGGCAAAGGCCTTCCCTGCTGTTGTGTCTTTTCAGCCCCCTAAATGAATAGATCTATTGTTACTAATGTTTTCGGGCTTATTTATTGAAAATATTTGAGGTTTCTTGTTTTATTGATTTTCCATTTTTATAATGTTTCTTGAATTGAAAATATAATATCTTTCCCCCCGCAGGGCGATTTAGTTACCTGTGGAGTTTTATCAGGAAACAAGAACTTTGAAGGTCGCCTCTGCGACTGTGTCCGTGCCAGTTACCTCGCCTCCCCTCCCCTCGTGGTCGCGTACGCCATCGCAGGCACGGTGAATATAGATTTCCAGAAGGAACCATTAGGTGACTTTCCCTGGGGTCTTTGTATATACTAAAGTCTTCTTGCACACACACACACACACACACACACACACACACACACACACACACTGCATTTCCCCCACAGCTGTAACTTTTTTTGGGGGGGGGTCACACTGGCGATGCATAGGGGTTACTCCTGGGTCTGCACTCAGGAATTACTCCTGGTGGTGCTTGGGGCACCATATGGGATGCTGGGAATCGAACCCAGGTTGGGCGCGTGCAGGGCAAATGCCCTACCCGCTGTGCTATTGCTCTAGTTCCCAGAGCTGTCATTTTTAAATATTTCTTAGACTGTTTATTCTTTTAAATATTTCAGAAAATCTTACTGTGTAGCTACCTGTTTATTCATACGAAAATTTTAAAATGTGCACAATTACTTTTTTTCTTAATTTGCTTAATCATGAAGTATTGTGTTGAATAATTTACTCACTTTCCGTGATAAGTTTTGGAAGGACTTGTGAATATTTTCTTTTTTAGTCTTTTTATCAGTTTCAAGGTTTTTCATTAAAAATTTGTTTTCCCTATGCGCTACATGAACACTGGTTTACAAAGTTGTTCATAAAGATTTGTTACAAACATTCAGTTTTCCAACACCTTCCTTCCACCATTCTCTCCAGTTTTCCCGACCACCACTTAAGCCTGCCCACATAACAGGCTCTCAATAATTTATTTTATATTGCTTGTTACTAACAATTTGCTAACAGAATGGTCAAAACAAACATGTTTTCATGGAAGAAAGTGAAGATTATTTTATCTCACCATAGGGGCTGTGAACATTTTGAAGCAATTTTTTTTTTTTTTTGCTTTTTGGGACACACCCGGCAATGCTCAGGGGTTACTCCTGGCTCATGTACTCAGGAATTCCTCCTGGCGGTGCTCGGGGAATCATATGGGATGCTGGGAATCAAACCCTGGTCGGCCGCGTTCAAATGCAAACACCCAACCTGCTGTGCTATCGCTCCAGCCCTTGAAGCAATTTTTTAAATTTTTTTATTTTTTTGCTTTTTTGGGTCACACCCGGCGATGCACAAGGGTTATTCCTGGCTCATGCACTCAGGAATTACTCTTGGCGGTGCTCGGGGGACCATATGGGATGCTGGGAATCGAACCCGGGTCGGCTGCGTGCAAGGCAAACACACTACCCGCTGTGCTATCGCTCCAGCCCTGAAGCAATTTTTAAAAATTACTTTTGTTTCTGTTTTTGTACCACCTCGGAGGTACGCAGGTCTGACTCCTGGCTCTGTGCTCAGGGAATCACTCCTGGCGGGCTGGGGGGAACCTAGGGGTCGCTGGGGATGGAGCCCCAGGTTGGCCTTAAGCAGGACCAACACCTTCCCCGCTGTGCTCTCACTCTTGCCTCTGGTTTCTGTTTTGAATACTCGTCGGTGCTTAAGGGTTGCTCCTTGCTCATGCTCAGGGGCCAGATGGCCACGTGGTGATGTGAGCTGAGCTCGACCCTGGCGCTCGGCTCCCACGTCCCAGGCATGTGTGCAAGCTCCTGTCTCCACTTCTGGTGTGATGAGTTTCTTAGCCACCAAGCTCAGGTGTCTGCCGGGCATTGAGCACAATCATCCTTCGAGCCTCCCGCCGGGCTCCCCGTGCTCCCCGTGCTCCCCGTGCTCCCAGTCTGACCGTCATTGAACTTCCCGCCCAGGTACGGACTCTGCCGGCAAGAACATTTACCTGCATGATATTTGGCCCAGGCGAGAGGAAATACATCAGATTGAGGAAGAACATGTTATATTTTCTATGTTTAAAGCACTGAAAGAGAAAATTGAGGTAAAACTAAACTTTTTACTTATTATTTTTTAAAACTACACTTTTTAAAGTCAGTTTTCTCTGCCCAGTCCTCTGCTTTCCAAAGAACAATGCTGCAGATGACCCGAGTGGTGTGTTTAATGGGTAGCACTAGGGATTTTGTGTCTGGAGTTTGTAGGGACCAAGTTACTGCTCTTACTTGTATTTAATTTGAGGGACAGGCTTGTGGTGCCCAGGGCTTATTGTTGACTCTGTGCTCGGGGACCGCTGTGGGACTCAGTACTGTGTGCGTGCAGTTCACGTACCTCCACCCGGTCTAACCTCTCCCGCCCTCTTTCTCAGAAATGTGTCGCCAGTGTTTGTCACCCTGCACCTGGGCGTGTCGAGGGACATTAGTGCTGCCATTCACTTAGCGGTTCCAGATGCTTGGGGTCTTGGGGGTGGGCAGTGATGGCTTATGATTGGCTCTGTTCAGGGCTCACTCTTGGTTAAGCCCTGGGGGACCTTACGGGATGTTGGGGATCGGACCTGGGTTCGCCATGTACGGGAAAGTCACGCACCCGCAGTATTGTGCTGTCCCTTCAGCCCCTCGGCTCTTTCTGGATTTGAAAGGAATGCAAGTCTCTCTCCCCCTGTGCCCTGGCGACAGTGATGTCAGGCCCTCAGTCACGTTCCCACAGGCGGGCCTCGGCCCCGCCAGCGATAGCTTGAGCGAAAGCAGGAAAAACAGTCACTTTACAAATACTTATTTTTGAAGATTGTATTTTTAGCATTGTGATTCTCAGTATTGACACTAACAGGGTTTCAGGCAAAACTGTTCCAACACCACACCCTCTGCCAGAGTTCCCGCTGTGTGTGTGTCCCTGCTCTCCACATGCCCGACAGTGATCTGCTTGCTGAAGACCCCCTCTCTCCCAGGTCCTGTTGCCTTGGAGTCTTTGTTCTTTCTTGCTTGTGTCACTCTGCTTCCTCACGTGAGGGAGACGATTCTGCCCTTGTTCTCCTCCCGGCCCGCTGCCTTTGGCGCAGCTGTCCAGGTCCCTGCGTACAGTCACAGCTGCACTTTGTTCCTTGTGGCCGAGTCATGTTCTGTTGTGGATGGACCACAACGTTGTCCTACAGTTTTATACCTGCTCATTCATTCTAGGTTGGACCTTTGTGCTGTTTCACGATTTCAGGTACTGTGAAGCGTACTCTAGAGTAGTAAGTAACGAAGAAAGTTTTTCCCACGTAAATATGGATCGCTCCTGGGCTATGTGGCAGATGTCCTCCCTGAACAACACCCGTGGTCCTGAGCACGTGGGAAATGCGAGTCAGGAGTGGTGCTCTTTCCTTCTTCCCGTGGTGAGGCTGGGTTCTAGCTCCCAGTGCTGAACTGTCCAGGATGATGCTGGGAGCTCAGGTGCGATCTGTGCACTGAAGGCAGCTTTGTTCCCTGGCCAGAAGGGGCAGATTTCCACAGATACAGCCTCCACTTGCAGGGAGGGTGAAAAGGCAGTCCATGAGCCCTTCGAGAAGTTCTCATGATTTGAAACAGTGGTCTGTCCACAGTAAGTCTCAGCTCTAGCAGGCTGAAAAGTGGTCATTGCTATGAATAAGAGAACGTTCAGTAGGATCAGCTGCGTGGGATTCGGGTGGTACTTGCAGGGTTACAGATGGAGAGTCGTGAGCGCCTCGCTTGAGGGAGGTTTGAAGGTGTTGACTGAGGGAGGCCCTCACCTGGCCAGATAGGCAGAAGAGGGACCGGTGGCTAGAACTGCAGAAGTCAGGAGCAAGGCGGTAGGAAGTGACGTCAGCCGGTCCCGACTCCACAGGCGATTTTAGGCCTTTGTAGAACTTGTCATCTCACTGGTGACGGGGAAGGGCAGCTGGCAAGCCTAGAGGAAGGCAGGCCGGCTCTTGGAAGGTGGACACTCTTAGAGCGGGATGGCATAGAGATTATCCGGTGCCAGTGGGCCGGAGCGGGGATGTGTGGTGAGGGGTTGGACTTTGAACAAGCAAACATCTGTGGACTCTTGGCACTCAGCTGTGAGTCTTTTTAGTTATAAATCAGCTGTTATAAATCTTGGAGATGCAGCATTTGGTGAGCCAGTCTGTCTTCACCCTCTCCCAAAAGACTGTGGCTTTGTTGGGAGCACCGTGTAACTTGTTCTGTACGTGGGTACGGAGCTCATACTACTTTGTTCTTTTTCTTCTTGTGACTTACACACTTTTTCATTTCCACGATCATCTCATCAGTCTCTGATTCCATCCTATTGTTCTCTTTGTTTCTCCGCCCTGACCTATTAACAGATGGGAAATAAACGGTGGAATTCCTTAGAAGCACCAGATTCAGTCTTGTTCCCATGGGAAGCGAAGTCTACTTATATCCGATGTCCTTCCTTTTTTGATAAGCTTGTAAGTATTGTTTGGTGCGTGATTTTTTTTTCTTTTTTGCTTTTTGGGTCACACCCGGCGATGCACAGGGGTTATTCCTGGCTCATACACTCAGGAATTATTCCTAGCAGTATTTGGGGGACCATGTGGGATGCTGGGAATCGAACCCGGGTCGGCCGCGTGCAATGCAAACGCCCTACCGCTGTGCTATCAACACAGCCCCTCGGTGCGTGATATTTGAAAAAAAAAAACAAACAAAAAACTGAAGTATAAAACCTTGTGAGTTTAATTTTGAAGAATTTGTGTTTTGGGACCACACCTGATGGTGCTCAGGGATCACTTCTGGCGGGCTCTGGGATCGAACTCAGGTCATCTGTGTGCAAGGCCTGCTCTATCGCTCTGTTCCCTCTAGCCAGAATCTGTTTTTTGTTGTTGTTTTGGCGGGGGGAGGGGGTGGGGGGGGGCGCAGAGTCCGTAGTACGTTGGCCTACCTGGAGGTGCTCAGGGTTACTTCTGCTCTGCACTCAGTTTGGATTACTCCTGGGTGTGCTCAGGGGACCGTGTGGGATACTGAGGATGGAACTGGATGGTCTGTGTGCAAGACAAATGCCCTCCCCGCTGTGCCATGGCTCTGGAGAGAATTTTGAGGTAGCAGGTCTCCCTGCCTGGCCCATGCCCAGACCAGCAGGGCTGGTGTCGGAGTGACTGAGGGCAGAGTGGCCCAGTCTGCCCCGCCCCTCAGGAGCAGTCGCCCCTCTGAAACGCCTTCACCTGTTCTTTGTAGACCAAAGAGCCCGCCGCCCTGCAGCCTATCGAGGATGCCCACGTCTTACTCTACCTGGGAGACTCGGTCACCACAGATCACATATCCCCTGCTGGGAGCATCGCTCGGAGCAGCGCTGCCGCCAAGTACCTGACGCACCGGGGGTATGTGGTGGCTCTGACCTCTGCCCTGCTGGTGTGCAGTGCCGTGCCCCTTCTTGCTCTTGTCATCCCCTCCCCCACCCCAGGCCCTGTCCCTGATGGTGTGGGGGCTGATCTGGCTGCCTGCACTGATTTCACTCTAGAAATAGCCTCTGGACACTTCTCAGTGATGTGCAAAAAGAATCCAGAGAAAAGGAATCTTTCAGGATAGAACAGGTTTAGACTGTTTGAATCACGTCCTGCTTTTTTTTTTCTTTTTACTTAGGGCCTTTTACTTAGCAGAGTCTAATACTGTTGTATTTACCGTAAATCATAATGTCAGCAGAATTTTATGATCCAGGGACATTTGTTTCCTCCTGAAATGTAAGTGCCTTTGCTGTCCTTGTTGCAGCCTTAGCCCTCGTGAGTTCAACTCCTATGGAGCCCGGAGAGGGAACGATGCCGTGATGACAAGAGGCACCTTTGCCAATATCAAGCTCGTCAATAAGTTTATCGGAAAACCAGCCCCCAAAACAGTTCACTTCCCATCAGGACAGAAGGTGGGCACTTGTCCGGGTTCTGGACTGCAGCTGCCGCCTTTGGTGTGTACTCAGCATCTGTCTCTGCTGTCTCCAACAGCTGGACGTGTTTGAGGCCGCAGAGCTGTACCAGAAGGAAGGCATCCCGCTCATCATCCTCGCGGGCAAGAAGTACGGCTCAGGCAACTCTCGAGACTGGGCTGCCAAGGGGCCCTACTTGCTGGTACTGACTCATTCATGTCACTGTTACAACTTAAGAGTTTAAAGATTCTTGTTTCTCATGTCTCATCTGTCCTAGCTCTCTCTCTGTGCTCCTTTGTGCTGATTTGAATTTCGTGCTTAATTTAGATGATCTTGTTTGATGCTCGTGTCATTACTACTCAGGGCTCACTCCCAGCTCTGTGCTCAGGGCTCACTCCTGGCATGGCAGGGGCTGGGATACCCTGTGGGGTGCCAGGGATCGAACGCGGGTATTCCAGTACAAGGCAGGTGCCCTCCCCACTGTATGGCCGCTCCCACTTTCTGCTAATTCTCTCCCATGACTGGATTTGTCTTGCTAAAGGCAGGTGTTTTGCCTTGTCTGCAGCTCTGACAGAGGGAAAGAGTGGCCACAATCTCAAGAGTGCTCTGGGCTATCACTGTCAGGGTGTAGCCTGGTGTTGGATGGACAGTAAATCTCCTTTCAGTCCACAGTCTGAGTTCTATACGTCAGGGTGGTTTTCTGTTGGGAGTTTGGTTTGGGTCACACCCAACTCCCCTCAGGGAACCATGGTTCACGGTGCCAGGCACAGAACAGACTTGCATGGCCCGGGCAGCCCTGGCCTAGAACCGCGCTCTCCATCGCCAGGCCTCAGTGCTTGGGGTGCAACACCTGACGGAACACAGCCTCTGCCCCTCTCTGGCCGCCTTCTCAGTTCAGCTCTTGCCGGGGTTGGGGCGCCGTCACTCCAGTGGAGGAAGTCATCATGGTCTAGCGACGCCTCAGGCAGGACGGCAGGACAGCAGGGAGCGTGCTTCCCTTGCTTGCGGCCTATAGCGTCCTCCAAGTGCCACCAGGAGTAAATCCTGAGCATCTCGGGGTGTGGCCCAAAAAGCCAGGAAGAAAGAGTCACCCGCAGCCTGGCATGAGGCACCATATTTGTATTTCAGACAGCTCGTGCAGAAGCACTGCCAGGGAGACTGCCTACGAGGCTCTTAGGCAGCCTGGAGAATCCTCACCCACGAAACTCAGACGAACCAGGTTCAAGAAATAACATCACTATTTCCTCCCCAGGGTGTGAAAGCTGTTCTGGCCGAAAGCTATGAAAAAATCCACAAGGATCATTTGATTGGAGTTGGAATCGCGCCATTGCAGTTCCTTCCAGGAGAGAGTGCAGATTCTTTGGGCCTGTCTGGTAGAGAGACGTTCTCTTTCACGTTTCCTGAAGACTTGTGTCCTGGAGTCACAGTGGCTGTGAAGGTATCGCTCGTTGTGGACTCCCTGGTTCAGCCCGACCAGTGGGGCTGGGGCTGGGGCTCTGAATCGATGATGATGCCCAGAGCCACAAAGTGTAGACAGTACTCTTCCATGCTGCCTGGGGGTGTCTGATGGTGTGGCTGCCCACCACAGGCTCCCACGTGAATCTGAGCACCTGGGCTTAGCCTTAGTGAAAGGCCACAGGGAGATCCCTGCTGTCATGCTCTAGGTGACACAGCCGGGCCCTGGCCTGTTAGGGGCAGTACCTGCGTTTCTCCCTCACGATATACATGGCACGCAGGGGGAGGCTTCTCCAGCAGGGTGTGTACACAGGGCAGTGAGCTCTGAGTCGCCCGTGATGGTCTCCCCACTCACCCATGTGTTTGTGCTTTCTCTGCAGACCAGTACTGGCAAAGCATTCAGAGTCATCGCTGCATTCGAAAATGATGTGGAAATAACTTTGTTCCAACACGGAGGATTATTAAACTTTGTAGCGCGAAAATTCTTATAGTATCCACTCACACAAATGGTCATCGCCAAAGCCTCCATGCTGGACGGGCCCGGGAGTCCTTCCCGGGGAGCCACAGCGGGCCCTGCCGCCCGCTCAGTCGCCCCATCCATGGCGCAGTGGGGAGGAAGCCGAGGCGAGTCTTGTCGACCTTAAATAATACACACGGTGCTATTTTCATTGCTAAACAATGTGTGAAGTGTTGTGGAGAGGCCTGTAAGCACTTGGGTGGGTGTGCAATCCGATCCTTGTCAGTAACGGGACGCTTCTCTGAATGACCTTCCTGAAGTTGTCGCTTTCTGAACCTATGACTGTTGCTGCTGTTTGTTGGTTTAAGAGGAACCTGTCTTCCTTGAGGGTGCCCAGGCAGAATAAGATCATGAATGTTGGAATTTTCTTGGACGTTTTAGGTGATGTTCTCAGTTGGTAAACTAAGGCAGGCTCATGATCTGTCTCCCAAGAATGCAGAGTGCACATAGCCACCGCCAGATACCGCTTGATCAGTGTGGAATCCGGCCAAGGGCTCTGCACAGCTGCAGGTGCAGCACTGTGGATGTGCTGGCCGAGGCCGCTCCTGGAAGTGAGTGTTCCACTGGCTCAGCCCATCTTTAGTCTGTCAGTTGCTCTCCTCCCCGCCCTGCACTCTTGGGCCGGCTCTGGATTCCGGTTTTAGATAGCTCGCCTCACTTCAGTCTGAGGTTCTAGCCAGAAATGCTCGGGACCACTCATCATAGCCCCAGATTTCCCATTTGCTGATGAGAACATGATTTGAATCATGAAACAGTAAAATGAGTTGTTTGAGTATTTTAAATCATCCAGAGTCAACTGTACAATCACTCTTAACCCTGACCCTTGTTTAAAATGTGGGTCTTGTCTTAATGATTTCAATTGATTTCCTACAAGGCTGAATCATGAATTTATCTGAGATCTGTGTAGTAAATATACTGTTTCTGTTGAAACCAAAAGCAAGCTTGCTCTGGGGATCAGACACTGATGTGATTGCTGTAAGAGTTCCATATCCTACAGTCTCCCAAGAAGCTTAGCGACTTTTGAAGAGAAAGGTCGTGTAGATGATTGTGTAGACCCCTTCCATGTTCTTGTTAAACCAAGCTTAGCATGCCAAAGGCTCATCATCACAGTGATTTTTTTCCCCCCATAATCTTTCTTTGACTTACTTAAATCATTGCAATTACGAAGTCTCTCCTGTTGCACAGGGTGTTGTGTGATTTGTTTTATGCCCAACATTCAAAACTGTATAGTAAGGTGAAGAATGAGAATTTTGCACATTCCGAATTAGCATCGTGGAAACAACAAAGTGATGTGTTTTAAAGATTTACCTTTATAGCTTTAGAGATTGCTTTTGTCTTTCAAATGTGTTTGCTAGTTTATCATGCCATGTATCTGTCTGTGCAGTTTTTCCTTGTGTGAAAATGCGGGTCAGCAAAGGGGAATTTCAAGTTTGAAGCAGAAGTGCTCATTCCAGCTCTCCCGTGCCTATAGGGAATCATGTTATTTTTAAGCCTATTGTAATAAATGTTTCTATTCAGAGGCCTTGGCACAGACAGACTAGTTTAGAGCTTGTTAGTAGCAAATGGAGCAGTTGTGTTTCCTGCCTTTTCAGTCTAGTAGTAGACAAATCTCGAAAACCAGGTTCTCCATCTCTTACTGAGACAACAGCCCTTAAGCCTTGAGAAGCTTGCCCCCCACCTGGGAGATTCTGGGGGTGGAGGGCACCCATATCTAAAAAATATTAATGCTGGTGAAGCATTAAAATACTGATCTTTTGCCTGACCCCATCCACTGCCCTGTGACATCTATGGGATCTGCTGTCCAGCCTCTGGGTCACCTGGCTGTCAGGATTCTCCAGGTGATAGTTGTCACCAGTGCCTGGTTTTATCTCTGAAGCTGAGGGGGACCACTAAGAATCTCTTCAGTGTTTCACTGGGCATCCAGTGGGTGACTCTGGTACTACAGGGCAAGAAAGGGAGGGGGGGTATAGACTGGGACCTGTCTGGGTGTCTCGAAGGGAGATGATTTGAGTCCCCTTTTCTCTGGCTCCAGAGAAAGACCCCTCTCTGCCTTTAGATCTCAGAGAAGTGACCGAGGTACCACAGTGAACTCTTAGTGTGACTGAGGCTCAGGGACAGTTCTGCAGTCACTGGCTTTTCTCCCTGAGGGTACTGTTGTGCCAAGGACTTGGTCAGCTTTGCCACTGATCTTCGTGAAGCTCATGTCTTCCATCGTTACAAATCGTCCTCTATTCTCTTAAGCCAACAAAACAGCATTAGCAGTTTTCAGTTAAGTGATGTTAAGTATGGTATAGTGATCTACAGGAGGTTAAGTTCAGCTGGCCATTGTGTACATGTTACCGATGCTGTAAATTATTTTTAATAAAGAAAAATGGATTATCTCATTCTTGGGTCTTCTCACAAAATATGTTGTGGTGCCCCCAACCCATCCATGTGTCAAAGCGCTTTTTCCCTTTGAAAGATGGAGTGAAGAGATGAGACTTTCCCCAGCTGTGCATCACAGGACCACCACACCTCGGGTGTTCTCTCAGGGAGATGATTCACATGGAGTGGCCTTTGAGGATGTCATGGGATCCCAGCCATGGAAACTGCGTGTTACGGAAGGGATGTGCCCAATATTTCTGAGCATCTCTGCCATGCTGATAGTCACTCCTTACATAAGGTGCTGGCTCCTTGGGCCATGGCCCGCTCTGTAAAAAAGTTGAGTCACATGCTACAGTGCATGGCTGTATGGAATTCAAGCTGCTGAGGCACGACGTCATGGATGCATAAGATTATAGATGCATCATGAAATGCACGTGACAAATGCAGAGAGTTCAAACAGGCTGCATGCATGGTTAGACTTGCAAATGTTTGTGCACATGGGACACTCGTACAAAACAAGTCTGAGTACATTGATACATGGGCAAAATGGAAAAATACAGATAGAAAAGTATGTACAGTGCGAATGCTTGAAAGATGGTTCACAGTATCAGGTGGGAATGCTTCCTTCTGAGTCAGGGAAGAATGAATGCAGGGTTAGGAATGCAGTTTCTGACAGTGTACAGCATTGAGTGGGCACAAATGGAGAGAGGGCTGCTTGTTCAGTTGTGCAGGGTTGAAATAGGTGCCGTAAGGCTGCGAGGGGGGAGCTGCAGTGGTGCAACGTGTTGAGTGCATCTCACAGTAGTCCTGGGCTTCACTGTACCACGGCACAGATTCTGTGCCCTGGGGATGACGAGCCCCTCTATCAGCCTTTTTTTTTTCTTTTTTTTTTGCTTTGCTTTTGGGTCACACCCAGCGATTCACAGGGGTTACTCCTGGCTCTGCAATCAGGAGTTACTCCTGGTGGTGCTCAGGGGACCATATGGGATGCTGGGAATCAAACCTGGGTCGGCTGTGTGCAAGACAAACGCCCTACCCACTGTGCTATCTCTCCAGGCACCTCCCCCCCCCCTTTTTTTTTTGCTTTTTTGGTCTATCAGCCTTTGTGGCACGCTGGAGCCCAGTGAGGACCGGCAGTGAGAGGGAGCAGGAGGGAGAGAAGCAGTCCCAGAGCCTTTTCTTGCTGCTCCTATTCCAGATGTCCTGAGAGGGGGCAGGAAGGTGGGCGCTGTGAGGTGTGTGTGCTGGGGGACAGCCCCCCCAGGGCCCCCCACGCCATGTCGGGCTGAAGGGTTTCGCAGCAGACCTCCTGTGGCCCTGCAACACCTGAGGGATGTCCTGAGCACTGCTCGGTTGCCTGCCTGGTCCGCGTTACTCGTGGCTCACTAGTGCCCTCTGGTGGTATTGCGTGTGCTCTTCCTCGCGCAGGTGTGACGCCTCAGGGGTGACATGAATTAAACACTTGTTTTCCCAGAACGACATCTGCTTGCTCCTCTTGCTGCAAGCCCCGGCCCCCCACGCACTCGCCAGTCACTGTCGACGCCATCTTTTTCTCTCTATTTTTTGGCCCACACTCAGGTCTTATTCCTGGCCCTGCTCAGGGATCACTCCTGGCGGGATCGCGGGAGCCCCTGGGGTGCTGGGGCTCAAACTCAGTTCTGAGCTTGCAAGGCAAGCTGGACTATGTCGCCGGGACTTTCGTCAGCGCCATCTTTACTATACAGGTATGCCCGGATGCCGTCCCAGACGCACAGGTCAGATCTCAGGAATCACTCCTGGCGGGATGAGGGGACTCTCTGGGATGTCAGGGATCGAACTTGGGTCGAACGCTTGCTAGGTCAGCTGTACTCTGTCGTCAGTGTGTTTTCGACACCATCTTTACTACACAGGCATAGCTTCCCAGAATGCTGTGCGTCGCTTCAGTGCGCATGCACGCTGCAGATCCTCGCCCGGTACGGCGGTCCGTCATTGTTTTCGCGCCATCTTTGAAATGGAGGCGTGGGAGACGCGTTCCGGGACACCGGACACTTCTGACGGCTCCCGCTCCCTTGGGTCAGTCGCGGTTCTGGACGTCAACTTTTATTCGGTTTTTGTTTTTGGCTCGCTAGATGGTTTTGAGGTCGTTCCTGGCTCTGTGCTCAGGGATCCGACTTAGTTGGGACTCTTGCTAGGCAAACTAAGGCTCCGCCTGTGAGCGGCGCCATCTTTACTATACAGGCATGCTTTGAAACTTTTTTTTCTAAGTTTTTGGCACTCGCGGTACTTTGGTATTGTTCCTGATTCTGTGCTCAGGGTATAAGTCGTGGTGGGCTCAGGGTACCCCCTGGGGTGCCAGTGTCCAACTCACCAGTTTGCTAGGCAGACTCCATCGCCAGACCGCGGGTGGTGCCATCTTGGTTACACAGGCATGCCTCACCGCCTCGTCTTCCCAGCATGCACTTTGCTCGACTGCAGCGCGCATGCGTGCTGTGGTCACGTTGCTTCGCCTCCCGGGACCTCAGTACCCCATTTGGTTCCCGGAGCACTGGCAGGGGCGATACCTGAGTGTCCAGCCGGGTCAGGGTGTGGCCCCAAACCCAACAGAACCATCTTCCTTTCAGAGAGTGGGGACTGGAGGTGGGAGCTAGAGATGGGAGTGAGGGAGGAGAGAGAGAGGGAGTGAGCAGGGGAGAGGTGGGGAGAGGGTGGGAGAGAGGGGAGTTGGGAGGGAGAGACTGCAAATGGCCAGGTGCGCTGAGAGAGAGACTGCAAAAAAGGACAGATTCGTGCAGAGATGGACGGTCGGGACCTGGCATCGCAGCATTTCCTTGCTCTGCGGGTTTCCAGCTGCCTTGGGCTGGGTGGGACTCTGTTTGGTTAGGTTTGGTTTTCTTTTAGTTTGGGTTTTCAGTCACATCCAGCGGTGCTGAGGGCTTATTCATGGCTCTGTGCTCATGGAGCACTCGTTTCTGTGCTTGGAGGCACACTGGGATGCAGGGGATGGAATCCCTGGTTGGCTGCCTCCAAGGTAAGGCCTTCCCTTCCCTGCTGTACTATCACTCTGAACTTTAAGCTTTGATTTTTAAAAAAATGAATCACTGTGAGATACACAGTCAAAGTTCAAGATTGGGTTTCAGTCACACAATGTTCCAATACCATCCCTTCGTTAGCACACATTTCTCACCACTACTGTCCCTAATTTTCCTCCCGAGTGACTCTCCCATCCTGCCTCTTTGTCTCTCAGGAAAGTTAAGTATAAGATGATTGTTATAGTTGGGAAATTTGGCAAGAAAAGGTTTTTGCCTTTTCTTAGCATTGGGATTAACCTAGGGATGGAGCTAAGGTTAGATTTGTGGAGGGTTTACTATTAGTTTTTCCTGTGTTCATACTTTTTTTTTTTTTTTTTTTTTTTGCTTTTTGGGTTACACCTGGCGATGCACTGGGGTTACTCCTGAGTCCTGGCTCATGCACTCAGAAATTAACTCCTGGCGGTGCTTGGGGGACCATATGGGATGCTGGGAATCGAACCTGGGTCGGCCGTGTGCAAGGCAAATGCCCTACCCACTGTGCTATCTCTCCAGCCCCCAGTATTTATACTTTTAAATGAAAGTTAAGCAAAGGGATATTTTAAATTTAGGGAAATTCATAGTTTGGGATATCAGTAATTGTCTGGCTTAGGGTTAGCTTTAGGCTTTGGTTGGGGGAGTGTTTGGAACTGTGGGGTTTAGGCAGGATTATTCTTATGTTCAGTGTTCAAACTGCAGTTCAGGCACACATGTGTTTCCTGGGTACACCTGTGTTTCCTGAGCACATGTCACCAGCATTTCTCCTCTTGAGATGTGGACATTCATACTCTAAAACCGGAATGATGTGTACTTGACTCTTTCTTCACAATGGAGAAGCCCAAGTTTTCTCTTGAGTTTGTTATTCTCTCTCTCTCTCTCTCTCTCTCTCTCTCTCTCTCTCTCTCTCTCTCCTCTTCTTCCTTGAAACTTTAAAACCTGTTTTTACATCATTGCTTGTTTCCTCCTGGTATTCTTGTCTAAGAGGCTAGGGGAGGGACCCAGAGGCCTGGGTTAAGTTCTAGAACAACTTTCCTTTCCTGAGAAGACCAAGGCTTCCAACTAACTCTGATCAGTCCTTGGCTTCCTTAGCTGCCACCAGTGGCAGAGGTTGAGAGAGAGAATATGGTGGTGCTCCTTCTGGAGGCCACCCACAGCACCAGCGTCCCTGAAGCTCTCCCAGAGTAAGGAAGAAAATCAGATATGGAAGTGTGCTGCCTTGGTGCGCTGAGGGAGACGACGCGAGGGGGATGACAGGACTGCTGGGCTGTGTGTGAATGTGCTGTGTCCCCTTTCCTTACATGTCCCCTGTGGCACTGACCAGACCCCCAGGGATGCCTGGGGTGAGTGCATAGGCCACTGACATCCAACCCAACGACTGACATCTCTCGTGTTGTGGCACCCCTCCTGCAGTGTTCAGGGCCTGGGTGATGCCCCCTATGGCAGAACTCTAAGGGATTAATGGCTCCTAGCCACAAAAATGATAGCAGACGGTGGAAATTTACAGCTGAGACTTCATTCAAAAGGAGTTCAGTGCAATGCCCTGACGTCCTGTTTCAGGTCTTCCTCCACATAGGCTGTTGCTGTTCCTAAGAAGTGTGGAAAATTAGGCCTCAACTCCTGATTCCTCTGCTCTTTGGGTGTCTGGGGAAGACATTTCATTTCAGAGGCTCAAATATACCCAGGAACAGCCCTAAAGCCCCATGTCCCCCCTCTCCCCTCCAGGAGAAACCTGCGGCCCAGGGAATTTACGCTTTCAGAGAGTCAGACACTGATAAAAGTCTGGCATCAAGGCCATTTCACAACTCCAGCAGCTGCTAGCCCCTTTACCTTGAGTGCTTTTGAAGGATGGAGAATTGGGCGGGAAATGTGGGGAATGACAGTGATCAGCCTTTTTAGACTCTTGGTAAAGTCTGCCCAGGACATGAGTTTTCTGAGTCAGAATCTGAGAACTCATGAGAGTCTTGCTTCTC